CGCAGCCGAACACTCAAGTCTTTTCGTCGAGGCTTCAGAACCTTCCGGGCATCCTAGCCGTCATCAGCAATGACCTTGCTGTTCAGACGATGGTCTGATTTTGGCGTTCCACCACCCTGTTCTGCTGGGGGAGTAGGGCGCCGTTAGGTGCCGCTGCATACCGAGCTTGTCGCTGAAGAAAATGGGCATAACAAAAATAAAAAATAGTATAAAAATATTTTTCAAAAAAATTATGCATACAAAAATAAAAAAAATATTACCAAAATATTATACTTACATAGAAGAGATTTACCCATGCATGACATTGACTAAATTGTGATATAACAATGTAATAAATAAGTTAGAGCTAGAACTATTTGTCAAAGTTTTAGAACAAAATCTTCCTCTCATTAAAAATCTAATAAACTAATTCTCTACAATTTAATTTTGTGTCCATTGTTTTAGGTGCGAAAGAAATCCTAAAATAATCAAGAATCCTCACACGAGTACTGAATGTTGATTCAAAAGCCTGTAAAAAAAAATTGGACACCTTTTGAAAAAACTCGCTATTTAAAATTATTTACTTTCCACCAAACTCGATGAGAAAAAGTGATGAATTTAAAGTAAAAAGAATCATTAAAAAAAAAAAAAATTCTTAGTCACTTCCGATCAACTAAAGGATAAAAGGCTACTCAAGAGATCATGGTTTTAAATGATAGGTCCTTATTCATGTTGAATGTATTTGCGACTACAATAGTGGGGTTAATTACTGATTATTTCTTAAAATGCTCAAATCATGTGCTACTTTTATATTTTTGGCGAAGACAAGACACCCTTGTGGTTGACGGCAGCACTCCATTGAAGACCATGAAACCTACATAGGGTCGTTACCTTATTTTCATACATTTTAAGTTAGTATAAGACATTACTAGTTTATTATTTTTCTTAGTTTTATTTTAATTTACTTTGAGTATTTTCCTCGTGTTGTTTTAAGACCCTTTCGTAAACATATAAGTCCATGACATCGTTTTATAAATTCGTTTTAAATGAATGTTTCCGCATAAATAAGTTACGTCATGCGTATGCTAGCACTCTATGTTAGTAGAAAACTAGGGTCGTTATATTTCCAATGTATTATAAGTTTAATTTAAAACACGTTATTTATAGGTCTTTGGTCTGAATTGAGACCTCGACCTAATGATCCCCTTGTCTTTTAGGCTGTTAGTTAATTCTCAATAATCTTGGATGTCAGGGCACTCTATGGATCTTAAGGTATTTTAGTCAACCTTAATCTTTATTTGTTAGCTCTATTTATGCATACTATAAATTTCAAACTCGTCATAAGACTCTTTTTCAATCAAATACGATTCGTCTACTAAACTCCCTAGCAGCTTGAAGTAGCACCAACCAGACTCCTAGGAATACTCATTATCTCTGACTTTGCACACGTATGTCAGTTAGGATTATATGAACCAAGATATCGATCATACAATATAAACTTTAAGGTTGCGTTACATGTTAATTATGGTCATAAAGTACAAAGGTTACACCTCTATTTTAAGACTACATAAAAACATATATGTTATATTTGTAAAGTGGATTCAGAAAATACAATAAAAAAATCATTTAGGCTTTCTTTTAGCCCAAAAGCTAAGTTTCTTACCGTTATATATAATTTATTTATGTTGCATGTTTAGAATCATTCAAGCTTGATTCGATCTTTTACTTGTAAAGTGATTTGAATCTCAAACAAGTGTATTGCCTTGACTTCCCTTTTGTTTTAGGGCGCAGTGTACTAGTGAATAGGAAAAACAGATTGAGATTACTTTGCTAAAATAATGAAGGAACCTTCACTACTAATCCAAATCTTACTTACTTCCCTCGTACTGATTCCTTGTAACAATGGTTTTGTTGGGATTAGTAGACTAAGCACACTTACAAACGTCACATGTTAAAACCAACTCAAAGCATAAATTAGAGTCATATACATCATAAATTTCTAACATGCTCACATCCTATGCATGCATTCACGTGTGTTATAATTTAAATTATGTCATTCATATATGTTTATTATACTAAGCTCTTAATCACATGGTGAATATGTTTCGTATATGTGTATATATTACAAGTTAATGTTGGCTTTTTGGTCCTTAATCTCATTTTAATTAATTTTAATTTTTTTTAACGATTTCAGACTTTTCAATCACTCAAATGAGAGCTTAAAGGAATAAATTACAGTCGAACAATATACCCAATGTGATGATGTGACAGTTAAATCAAAGTATGACACTTATAATTTTTATTATTATTATATTTCTAAATAAAATTATTTATACATAATATAAATTTGAATGTAATCGTTACTCACATTATTATTATTATTATTATATTATTATATTTTGAATTTTTTTTGGTGGTTACTCAACTATTTTTTATTATTATTATATTATTATATTTATAATAAATTTTAAAAATTTAATTTAACCGTACTCATGTTACCTTTTATTATTATTATATTATTATATTTTTTTCTTCTTATTTATTTTTAATTTCTACGTCCCATTTCAGATGGTCAATATTAATTTCTACCACGTTTTTCTCTATTTAAACCTATCAACTTCCCCATATTTTTAACACATAACTAGTTGAGAGAGATTTTTGTTTTAGTAATCTTATTCTTGATAGAATTTTGGTTGTATTGTGAGGAAATAGTTGTGAGTGTTCAAATTGTAAATATATTCTTTTACAGAGTCATGGTGTGTTCCTACAAAAATTTAAATACTTGTACCGGGTTGATCCTACATCGTAGAAAGGATTGAGTTTACTCTTGAACTCGTAAAAAGAGCGGTGTAGTAGTTGGGCTCTCCATGAAAAGAGTTAGAAAGTTTTTTATTCAAAATTTCAAAATGCATTTGGGGGTGGAGTAGGTCGAGTTTGACTGAACCACTCTGAAACTAGGGTGTCATATTTTTTAATTGTTTCCTATTTAATTTCAAAATTATTATTATGATCATATTCTAAGTATTTAATTTCAAAATTATTATTATGATTTATTGTATATTCTTAGTATTTAATTTCAAAATTATTATTATAATTTATGACACTGAATTGTTGTAACTTGAACTATTTTATTATATTAATGATGATTTTCTACCGTCTTTCAAAAGTATCATAATTAGCACATTAAATGCTTTTGTTCTTAAAACCCTATTCACCCTAATACAGCAAGTTACTTAGATCGTTAATATTTTTTCTCCAGTAACTCACTCCTAATACAGCAAATATTATATTTTTTAAATTTTAAAAAAATAAAGTTAAATAATTAAAATAATAAATAAAAATATTAATTTTATGATAAATCGAGCAAAGTACATGTATTCAATTAAAAATTAAATAAATATCACAACGCTCAACAACAACATGTGTCACTAAAACATTGTACAAGACAAGACGGTGGACATAAACAATAAACCATAAAAATATCTTAATTTTTACTTAATTGAGTTAGGGTAGACTCATTAGGTCTGCTATAAATTAAACGAGCGATAACTTGATTATTGAATGAAAAAATCTTGTTCCAAATGATATTCGTGAATTTTGTAACGTGGAATCCATGAATATTAAAACATTAGATTTAAAAATGTGGTATAATGATTTTCATCTCACTTCACTATATAATATATTAATTCCAACTAAAAAACGTGTTAAACGAGATGAAAAAGTAAAGTCGATCAAACTTATTGCGTACATGGTAAGATAGTGAGCGAGGACATCTTGCGACTTTGAATTGATAACCATCTTTCGGCTAAGTTAGTCTCCTCCGTCTCTCGGGACCAACAAGGGGTAGTACAGGAATATTCACTTGTTGTCTATCGACTACGTCTTTCGGCCTAATCTTAGGTCTTGACTCACTCTTCATGAACGAACCGTGCGTAGGAACCCTTAAACGTGCGATCGATTTTGACCATGGACATGTCCTTATCCATTAGGTAAAAATCCATTTATTTTGGAAATATTAGGAAATAATATTTTCAATATTCATAATTTTATGTTTTTTTTAGTTGATTAAAATCGAGACTGGTTGTATTTTATTGCATTAAATTATTTTAAACACCAACCAATTGGAATTAAATACGGCTTTATGTGAAGTGACGTGGCATTAAGTTGGTGTAAGGGTGGGCCGGACATTTGAAGTGAACTTTCCACGTGGCGTCCAATGATTAGTGAAAGTTACTGAACCATTGCACCCCTATTTCTCCCCACTTTGGCGCGTGACTTTTACGTACTAAATGATATAATACAAAATAATTATTAAATTTTGATTTTGAATAAAAATTTGTCATTTAAAATTAGTAATTTTATATAGATTTTTATTATTATTATCGGGTAAAAATTTATATAATTTAATCATAAAGCCATGGTTTTCATGTGTCATAAAAGCGACTAAAAATTAGGCATAAATAGGAAAAAAGAAAAAAAAAATAAAATTTGGTCAGATAAATAATTATATAATAATTACACAATTGGATAAATATTCTACACATACCCAATTTTGAATGGACAATCATATTGACACGTCAATTACTCGTTTTATATCATGTGTTCTCAAAATCTGATTTTAATTATTGAGTTATAATGTATTTGGTCAATTCTTTAATTTATTTCCTTTTAAAATTTTGATTTGTCCCAATTTATTCAAAATTTCATCATTTTTATAAATATCATTCAATTATTGAGTTATCATTTTGAAATCCATCGATCATTTCAATTCTATCCAATTTCATTTCATTTATTAATAAATAATTTTATTTATTTTTCAATGTATTTCTTAAAAAACAATTGTAATTTATTTTATTTAGTTAAAAATAAAACAAAATAAAGCCTCACTTAACCCATGATCTTACAAAAATTTTATATACTATTTTTTTTTCTTTTTTTTTTTTTTTTTTTTTTTTTTTTTGTGTGTAAAAAGAATTTTGGGCAAAGAGCTATCCGTTGAAAATTATTCCCATTTTGAGCAAATTCATCGTGAAAAGGGTGCGTTGCTTTGCGGCTGATGAGACACTGTACCTGAGGAATTCTGTTTCTTTTACTGCTCCACTTCGTCCGCCATTAAAACCCTGCTTCACGTTTTAGTTTTACAGTTCCCGATTCCCACTTTCTTCTGTTCTTAACGAAACCCATCTCTTTTCCCCAACTTTCACTCTGTTTCAATTTCATTTATCTTCTTTTTTATTGAATTCTAATGGAGGATCGGTATGAACCATTGAAGGAACTTGGCTCTGGAAATTTTGGAGTTGCTAAGCTCGTTAGAGACAAGAACACCAACGAGCTTGTTGCTGTCAAGTACATTGAGAGAGGGGAAAAGGTATCAATTGGGTTTAATTATGGTGGGATTAGGAGATTTGGGTTTGATTAATCTTTTGTTAATGGGATTTCCTTTGTGATTGTTTCTGATTAGCTTTTGGATTTCTTCGATTTGTTGTAGAACAAGATCTAGTAATGCTTCATTGTTTAAACAAATGCAACAATGGTTTTGTTGATTATAGATGATTAATGACTTTGTTTAGGCCTTTTCCATTAATTTGAAGGCGGAGATCATAGTATAATCTCTTTTGATCATAGTAAAATCACATTAAAGGAGATAGAATGTGTGAATTATTTTGTTCAGATTGATGAGAAAGTTCAGAGGGAAATCATTAATCATCGATCGTTGCGGCATCCCAACATTATCAGATTCAAGGAGGTAAGGATACTTTATAACTAAATGAGAATTGTTATTTTTCTACCATGATCTGCTCATCTCTTTCTATTAGTAAACGTGTAATGCAAGAACAAGTGTGTGAGATCTCGCATTGATTGGAGACGGGAACGAAACATTCCTTATAAGAGTATGGAAACCTCTCCCTCGTGGATGTGTTTTAAAACCGTGAGGCTGATGGTGATACGTATCGAGCCAAAGCGGACAATATTTGCTAGTGGTGGGCTTGGGTTGTTACAAATGGTATGAAAGCCAGGCATTGAGCGATGTGCTAGCGAGGATGCTGGCCAAGGGGGGTGGATTGTGAGATCTCACATCCATTGGAGGGGGAACAAAACATTCCTTATAAGGGTTGTGGAAACCTTTCTCTAGTATACGCGTTTTAAAACCATGAGACTTATGGATATCTACTGGCGGTAGGCTTGGTCTATTATAAATGGTATCAGAGCCAGACACTGAGTGATGTGCTAGCAAGGATGCTGGCCCTTAAGGGGGGTGGATCGTGGGATCTCACTCCGGTTGGAGAGGAGAACGAAACATTCCTTATAAGGGTATGGAAACCTCTCCTTATAGACACGTTCTAAAACCATGAGGCTGACGATGATACATAACGAGCCAAAGCAGAGAATATTTACTAGCAGTAGGCTTGGGCTGTTACAAATGGTCTCAGACCCAGCCACTGAGCAATGTGCTACGCTGGCCCCCAAGGGAGATGGAGTGTGAGATTTCGCACCGGTTGGGAGAGGAGAACGAAACATTCCTTATAAAGGTGTGGAAACCTCTCTCTCTAGTAGACACGTTTTAAAACTGTAAGACTGATAGTAATATGTAACGAGCCAAAGTAGACCATATCTACTAGCGGTGCGCTTGAGCTGTTACAAAGTGAAGATATCTTCGGAGCAAAATGGATTGAGATCCATTAGTCAGTTTGCTATGATCTTAGCTTGGACTTTGTAAAGATCCCACATGGATGGAGCAGCTCAATGAATGATATTTGGCTGCAGGTCTTCTTAACTCCAACTCACTTAGCCATTGTCATGGAATATGCAGCTGGAGGAGAGCTTTTCGGACGAATATGCAGCGCTGGTCGGTTTAGCGAAGACGAGGTCGGATTGTTACCTTCTATTCCTTTGCTTATCTTTCCTCCACAATCCATTTGCTCATTAACATGTCTCCAAATCAGGCAAGATTTTTCTTCCAGCAGTTAATATCAGGAGTCAGCTACTGTCATTCCATGGTATAACAATCAAACATATGTTATTCTCTTGTTGTTGTCTTTATAATCATTTTCTCTCCATCACAGCAAATTTGTCACAGGGACCTGAAACTCGAAAACACGCTCTTGGATGGAAGTCCTACCCCGCAGCTCAAGATATGCGATTTCGGTTACTCAAAGGTCGATAATCTGTTTCACATTGCCAAACATTATGCTTTCAGATCATTATCTTCACCTTTTTATGTTTGTTCGATTCGTTACAGTCCGCTTTATTGCACTCGCAACCGAAATCGACTGTCGGGACGCCTGCATACATCGCACCGGAGGTTCTAGCACGGAAGGAGTATGATGGAAAGGTATTGAAGTTCCAACCTTCGTTGTTGCATGTATCAGCATTGTGGCATTGATGGTTTACTCTTCTTTGGCTCTTGCTGACATTCATAAGAACAATGGTTTGGTTACTGCTTGTAGATTTCAGATGTTTGGTCATGTGGGGTGACATTATATGTGATGTTGGTCGGAGCTTACCCGTTTGAGGACCCCGAAGATCCGAGAGATTTTCGTAAGACGATATCGGTGAGTGTCTCTCGAAGAATTCAGTATAGTTTCTGCACAATAAACTTCATGATTGTTCATTTTGGCATTGAGAACTCACTGTCTCCCTAATCTTACAAACAGAGGATATTGAGTGTTCAATACTCCATTCCGGATTATGTTCGTGTGTCCATGGAGTGTCGTAACCTTCTTTCTCGAATATTCGTTGCGAACCCGGCAAAGGTCGGTAACAAACAGTTATTTCCATAAATTTTTGTTGCAATTTGCATCTCAAGTTCCTTGATTGAACTCAAAATGGGATAATATTAAATCGAATCGTTGAGTTATGTTCGATCTTTTGTTGAGGATTGTTGGGAGGGAGTCCCACGTTGGCTAATTTAGGGAAGGATCCCATTGTGGACAAATATCAAAGTGGACAAATATCATACCATTGTGGAAAGTCGTGATTCCTAACCTGGTATCAGAGTCATGCCCTTAGCCATGTCAATAGAGTCCTCAAATGTCGAACAAAGAAGTTGTGAGTCTCGAATGTGTAATCAAAAGTGACTCAAGTGTCGAACAAAGGGTGTACTTTGTTCGAGGACTCTAGAAGAGTCGAGCCTCGACTAAGGGAGGCTGTTTAAGGGCTTCATAGATCTCAGGGGAGGCTCTATTGTGTACTTTGTTCGAGGGGAGGATCGTTGAAGATTGTTGGGAGGGAGTCCCACGTTGGCTAATTTAAGGAATAATCATAGGTTTATAGTAAGGAATACATCTCCATTGATACGAGACCTTTTGAGGAAGCTCAAAGAAAAGCCACGAGAGCTTCTGCTTAAAGTGAACAATATCATACCATTGTGGAGATCCGTGATTCCTAACATCTTCTTGTATGCTCATTGATCTTATTCTTTTGTTTCTTAAAGAGGATCACCATCCAAGAGATAAAACATCTGCCATGGTTTTTCAAGAACTTGCCAAAGGAGCTAATTGAGATTGAGAAAACCAACTTCAAACGACAAGAACACGACCACCCGTGGCAGAGCATCGAGGAAATCATGCAGATTGTTCAGGAAGCAATGACACCAGGAGAGGGATCTAATGTTGGGGACCGAGCGTTGGGCGGAGGGTCGGGGCTCGACGATCTGGACGCCGATATAGCTTCGGAAGTAGATGTAAGTGGTGACTATGTAACTGGTGTTTGAGAATGGTCCGGTTTTTAGTTTGGTTACAGAAGAGTTTATTGTGTATGAAAACATATGGTGTCAAATCAAAATCACATTGTATAGGGAAAATAGAAGGGATGGAAGATTGTGGGGGCAGCTGCATTGACTGCCCAAAACATGTTCATTGTATCAACAAAAGTGTTTTTTTTTTTTTTTTTTTTTTTTTTGTTTGTTTATGAAAAGGAATACTATCTGATTCAAGGTCGATCATACTTATAACTGCATCAAGTTTTTAAGGTGAACAACCTCTAGTCGACGGAACAATGTAGGCAAGGGAAGTTGGCAAATGATATGTAACATCGAGAAAAGGATTGACTATGAGAGCTGGGCGTAGGGTCTGGTCCTGAATCCGTCGGTTGTTAGTGAACTGTCGAGTTGCTCCCACGGTGAGAGTAGGCTGAGAGGCAACACCACAACGTTCCACACTTGACGAGGTTTATGTCACATGCCAGAAGCCACCTGGCTCCACCTCAACCTTACATGTTTCATCATCGTAACACCCATCATTCTTGGAAAATTCAAATTGCAAAGTCTCAATTTTCCACTTTTTTCATTTCAAAAAGTATATTTTACTAAAGTTTTATTATATTTAAAATAAATAATTTTTAGATTAAATGGTATATTTTAACTTTTTGTAAATGAACCCGCCGTGAATTGAACACGCAACCTTCTAATCTAGAGTCAGACGCACTACCATTGCGCCACAGATCCTTTGATGCTTCTCCCTTACATTTTTATTATATTCAAATTTAATTATATTTTCCATAAATTTTGTTACAAACAAAACCCATTGTTTTCAATTAATTTTCAAAAAGTTTATATATCATTAGGAAAATATTCAAAATTTTAATCCTAAGCTTTCATTTTATTAAATTGAACTTTTACTGAATTAAATGTGCAATTTTTAACCATCTTTTCAATTTTGGTTAATTTGCTTACTAATAATTTAATATACACGTAAATAAACAAATAAATAGATATATAAATATATATTGGGTAAAATTGCATCATTATCAAAATTTGAGGTATTATTACTCATGACCTCTCATAGATTAGAATCGTCTAGCTCAACCTTAATCGACACAATGAGACATTGAATGCTCAATCTATACGTCGGTGTTCAGTTTAAGAAAACCACGCACTATTTATAATAGTCTAAAATAACACTTTAATTTTTAGAAGGAAACTAGATAATAAAAATGAGGTCTTCCCCGTACGATAGCATAGATTACCCTCTTTTCGATGACTTTGGTGGCGAATTACTCAAACACACCGGCCCAATTTATGCTCTCATGGTCTCGTCATTAATTAATTATTTTTAGTAATAATTTTAATATTATCCATGATGTTCAAGTAATAAGCTAAATGATTTATAGTTTATGGATAATGTTAGATATCTTAAATTGGTAACACTATCGATACAACTCACTTTGTAATTGTTACGAATGATTTAATCTAAAATGTCGAATTGGTTGTAGTGATTATATTAATGAAAAAAAACTTATCTTATAGTACATAAGAGTGCCACACTAGGTTTATAGTGAAGTTACGTACAGTTAATAAATAAAAATTGATTGATTAAAGAGTTTAATCAATTAATTTTGTATTGTTGAAACATAGGTAAGTAAGGTCTCTTTCAAACTCAGAGTAACATTAAAATGACAATTTGGTTGAAAGAAAAATTTTAAGTGTAAGACTCTAAGGAAGGTGAAGAAAACTCGAGTAAGCTTAAAGGTACCAACGAGAAGTTTAAAGGAAACAAGAAAAAGATTAAGAATCCCGAGGAAGGATAAGGGGCCTAAATAAGTGATTTTAATGCTCTAACAAGTTTTCTTTAGGACCCAAGACGTTTGAATAAGGTTTAGAACGGAAAAAGTAAGTATAAAGGACAAAAATGTCTTTTTCTATATTTAATTCGTAAGAACTTTCTAAATTTTTAATTTATTATAATACTTCAAGAGGCTTGTTAGAGAGGAAAAAATTAGTGAAAAAGGGCCAAAGAATTTTTAGAAATTTTTTAGATTTTTCTAGAAAATAATTAAAGAGGGTTAAATTACCAAATACCCCTCAAAATTGTAGAAAGGCCATCAATCTGAAAAATCAATGGGGATCGGAGATAGTATGTACAAAATTTAATAGATCTCAAAATCCAACTGTTGGATCGAGCTGAAATTTTAGTAATTTTAAGAAGATTTAAGGTTTTTTCGATCCAACGTGGTTAATATTCAAAACTAATGTCAACAACTCTCTAATTAGAGTATATCCTTAGACCCCTCTCATACAAATTAGTTCAATTTTGATTCAAAGAAAATGCGTTCAAGCTTCAACTATAAATATGAATTTTTATTTTTAGGACAATGATTTTGGATAAGAATGGAGTGATTGGAGTTCCTAAAGTTCAAGAAATAAGTCTCTAGACTATGATTTTTTTCTTCTCTTGTTTCTTATAAATTCGAGAGCTATGGATAATTATTTTTTTCAAACCCATTCCAACACGTTCTAAATGAGTTTCCTAACAAGTTTGACGAATGATTTGAGAGTTGAAAATAGATCAAACATGATTTCTCAATCCAAGCTTCCACGATCACAGCCATCGAATGAAAAAAAATTAAAATTCCTAATTACTGGGCTCCCAAAGAAGAAGTCTCATGAAAACCACGAAGGCTAACACGCTCGGAAGTGAAAGAAATTTGATTTTTTCAAAAATGGGTAAAATTCGAAGGAATTGAGTTAACTCCAAATTCCATCTCTTACCATCCATCTCATCCCAAATTAATAAATTCAGCTCCGAGAGGAGAAGGATTCATGAAAAAGTCGAGGGCTAAGGAGCTCTCCATCGGGTTGCCCAATAAGCCTCGTAATCTGCAAAAAAAAAAAAAAAAAATGGTGATATGAACCAAGAGACATCAATCATACAATATATTTCAATGAAGATGCGATGAAAATATTGTTGCAATTATCAAAAGATATTTCAATTCATACCACGTTGAAGAAGAATGAAGTTTCATTCTTATAAATTTTGGGCGGATTACACTTTAGAGTAATCTATAATTATTATATTTCATTAATGTATTTTAATACATTTTATTTACTTTTTATGTTACATCTATATTATGACCATAAAGTATGAATGTAATAACTCTTGGAATGCCTTTAGTTTCATTTTGAGGCTATGTAGAGGCATTGTATTTGTAAGTAGACTTGGAAAATATAGTAAAATGAGCATTTGCGCTTTCTTTAGCCAACGTGATAAGATAAGGAATCACTACAAGGGGAGTAAGATTCGGATTACCTTGTCGATCAAATATCTCAAGGCAAGAATATTGTTTGAGATTCGAATCACTCCAGAAGCAAGATCGATCATGTTTAGCTTCAATGATTCTTGTTGATCAAATATCTCAAGACAAGAACACTTGATTGAGATTCGAATCACTCCACAAGCAAGATTGATCATGTCGAGCTTGAATGATTCTACATGCAACCTAAACTACATAGAGTTGCAAAGAAACTTAGCCATTAGCTAAAGAAAAGCACAAATGCTCATTTTACTATATTTTCAAAGTCTCCTTACAAATACAACATACATGGCTTTATATAGCCTCAAAATGGAGCATTCCAAAAGTTGTAACATTCATACTTAATGACCATAATTAGCCATTATGTAAATGTAACAAATAAAATGTCTTAAAATACAATAACTTAAAGTACTCTAAATTGTAATTCACCCAAAATTTATAACCATCAAACTTCATTCCTCTTCAATGTGACATGAATTGCAACCTTTTTTGATAATTTTGACAACATTTTCTTCACATCTTCATTGAAGTATATTGTATTAATGATGTCTCTTGGTTCATATCACAACGGCTAAGTTCTTTGCAATTCTATGTAGTTTAGGTTGCATGTAGAATCATTCAAACTCGACATGATCAATCTTACTTGTGGAGTTATTCGAATCTCAAACAAGTGTTCTTGCATTGAGATATTTGATCAATAAGAATCATTCAAGCTAGACATGATCAATCTTGCTTGTGGAGTTATTCAAATCTCAAACAATATTCTTGCCTTGAGATATTCGATCAACAAGGTAATCTAAATCTTACTTCCTTCTAGTGATTTCCACATATCAAATGGGTAAGATTCCGAGAGTTTCAAACAAAAAATTTGTTGCCCATACATAAATTTGTCATTCTAAATCTATTTCTTAAGCTTGAGGTGGACATAGAAAAATATTTCATAAAGGAATTAAGGCCTAAAAGTGTCTAAAACGTAGCAACCAATTATGATTTTCTGGATTTTAGCTCTACGAGAAACATGTTTTGTGACGAACTTTCATAGCTTATATCTTGAGTTGTTGTTCACGAAAAGTACGGAATCAATCTCTACATCTTCTGTGCAATACCATCTTAAAATTCCATGGAGAAATCAAGGGGAGAAATTCACCGTAGAAAGTTAGAGAGCGTGAGTTTCTTGCAATGTTGGCAATGGCGTCACACCTTCTTCCTTTGTTTTGGGGAAGAAGATGATGATATGGTCGGTTCAATTGAATTGGCCATGTCAACCTAAAATTCTGACACCTCTTAATTTTTTCTCAAACTAAATCCAATTCAGATCAGTTCTCAAGAAATTATTGGTGGTTTACAAAACTAGACTCAAAGAAGAATCTACTAAAGAAAATTAGAGTAATTCGAATATCGGAAGCTCTAGAATTGAGGTCCCAAATGTCAACATGGAGGTAGGTAGCCTCTTGGACTTTTCTTAATAGGATTACTTGGATTTCAATATGAATTTTAAGTTAAAATATGATTTAAAGGAGTATGGAAGAATTAAGTCAAAAACCATGAGTTAACGACCTAAATCGAGCGTTATGCTTGAGAATAAAATGACGTTAGAATAACCCACTCCCATCAAATTTCAATGTAGGCATAATATGATATGTTAATATATATGAAATTTGGTAGCGAAGGTGTAAAATTGGATAAGGATGAGTAGCTAAACCGAGTAAAGATGTAAAATGACTATAATGTCCCTAATATAGTTCACCCCAATACATGACCCAGATCAGATGTCCACCAAATATGATGAAACTTCATAAAAGGCCTTAATTTATGATGATTAAGGATCCGGTAATATTTTAGAACCATTAGGGCTCGAAC